ATTATATTATATTATATTATATTATATTATATTATATTATATTATATTATATTATATTATATATATATTTGTTTACAGGAAGCACTGGTGTAAGTCTGTGTACACTAGAAGAGGAGGCATCGCGTTTGAGTTTATCTACGACGAGCTGGGATCAATTTGCCGATAACGCGAGGCGTTTCGGAGTGCATTCGACGTATAAAGAAGAGATTTATACTACGGCTTTAGATAAACAACAAATACCGCAACATATCAAAGTTAAAGCTCAAAGAATCGCCAAACAATTGCAAGAAAAACAAAACAGAGACTCTCTTATTGATACTGATAACGAAGTATGTATATATATATATATTTATATATATTTATATATAATATATATATATGTTTATGTATATATATATGTTTATATATATATATTTATATATGTATATATATTTATGTATACATATATTTCATATTCTTTATTTTTTTTGTTTTATTATTTAGTATAAAGTTATTGTTGTATAATGTTATGTCCTCTTGCATAATATATATTATATGTAATATGTAATATATATTTATATATTATATATTATATATTATATATATTATATATATTGTATATAATATATATATTATGTATATATTATATATATTATAGATGAGCCCTTCACCTTCACTTGCCGGGGATGCTGATTGTGCTGCTGCCGCTGCTGCTAGTGCTTCTGGTGCTGCTGCTGCTGCTGTTGCTAATGCTGCTGCTCCTGTTCCTGCTGCTAGTGCTTCTGCTGCTGCTGGCGCTGCTGCTGCTGCTGCTGCTGCTGTGGGTGTTTGTTGGTCGTTGTGTCTCCGATTTATGTCTTATTCTGTCTCCTCTTTGTCTTTTAAAGATGTAAACAGGCCTAAGCTTCTGCTGCTCCATCTGCTGCTGCTGCTGTTCCTGCTGCTGCTGCTGCTGCTGTGTTTAGGAAGACGAGGAGGCTATGTTTAGCGCTGTTCGATCATCCGGGGCCTTCAGCCGGGGCTCCGCAGCAGCAGCAGCATCCACGCAGCAGCAGCAGCAGCCTAATACAGCAGCAGCGCAGCAGCAGCAGCAAACATCTGCGGCAACTGACGGATCACCTGCAATCTCCTGGAGAGCCTCATCAAATGCAAATAACAAAGGTAGGGGCCCTGCAGACATAAATAGCAGCAGCAGCAGCAGCAGCAGCAACAGAAGTTATAGCCGCAGCAGCAGCAGCAGCAGCAGCAGTAATAGCAGCAGCGGAGTAGGCAGCAGAAGCAGATCCACCAGCAGCAGCTTTGGGGAACGCTTGAATATTTGCGTGTGTTGCGTTTGCAGATGAGCAGCAGCAGCAGCAGCAGCAGCAGCAGCCTAGCCCTATGCGAGCTGCTGCATCAGGGGGTACTTCAAATAGGTAAGAGATAAATCTTTTGTTGTTTGTCTGCACTTTGTTTTGTTGTTTTTCTCTCGTTGTTTGCTTCTGCTTCTGTTTTTAGTAGACTGTCTGCAGTCGCCGTCTTCACCTATTTTATTGGGGTTTAGGGTTTAGGGTTTAGGGTTTAGGGTTTAGGGTTTAGGGTTTAGGCCTTACGGTTTAGAGTGTAGGGGATAGGGCGTAAGGTTTAGGGTTTTGGCTTAGGGATTAGTGTTCAAGAATTAGGGTTTAGGGTTTAGGGTTTAGGGTTTAGGGTTTTGTTTAGGTTTCCTGCTTTGAGTTTGTCGCGGGTTTATTCGGGCGGCGGAGGTGACGGTGCACAGGGAAGAAATGAAGACAAAGGACAGCAGGTTAGCTGTCTCCTCGTCTCTACTTATTTATTTAATTTAATTTATTTTATTTGTTTTGTTTTGTTTGTCTCTTTATTATGCTACTGGTTAGCTGTCTCCTTGTCCCTATTTATTTATTTTATTTTATTTATTTAATTTGTTTTGTTTGTCTCTTTCCTCTTTATTATATTAGCTGTCTCCTTGTCTCTATTTATTTATTTATTATTTATTTTATTTGTTTTGTTTTGCTTGTCTCTCTATTTTTGTTTTATGTGTTGCTGGTTAGCTGTCTCCTTGTCTCTATTTATTTATTTGTTTTATTTATTTTTATTTGTTTTGTTTTGTTCGTCTCTTCTTTGCTTATTTTATTTCTTTGTTTGTTTTTAGTTGTTGCTTTGTTTGTTTTATTTTGTTTGTCTCCTTTTTATTTGTCTGTCTCTTTATTTGTTTTATTTGTTTTTTAGTTTGCCTCTGCTGTATTTGTTTATTTTGTTTGTTTGTTTTTAATTTAACTTTGTTTTGTTTACTTCTTCTTCATTTGTTTGTCTCTCTTTGTATTTGCTGTCTCTCCTTGTCTTTCTTTTTATATCTATTAATTATTTAATATAATATGTAATATATATATTATTATTAGTTATATATTTTTATATATTATTATATGATATATATTATTATATATTGTGTATTATTATATATTATTATATATTATTTTATATTATATATTATTATATATTATTATAATTATATATTATATATTATTATCTATTATTTCTTTTGCTGTCTCCTTTCAGGGCCGAGGCAAGAAAAAGAGCGGAGACAGTTCTTCTTCTTCGCTTAAGTCTGGTGATAGAAAGCCTCAAAGCAGCAGCAGCAGCAGCAGCAGCAACATGCTTGCAGATTCTGCTGCGCGACAGCAGCAGCAACAGAGTAATGAGAGGTGCGGGGAGAGAAGGAGCAGCTTCTGTCTTTGTCTCTTTATTATTATTTTTGTTGTTCTTCTCTTTTTTTTGAAGCTTTGTTTGATGCTGTCTCCTTGAATCTGTCTCCTTTGTCTTTGTCTCTTGTCTCTCTCTTTTGTCTCTCTCGTTTGTCTATTTATTCGCACTCTGTCTCTGTCTCTGTCTCTGTCTCTGTCTCTGTCTGTCTCTGTCTCTCTCTCTGTCTCTGTCTCTATTTTGTCTGTCTTTTGTTTTTATTGTTTGCTCCTCTTGTCTGCCTCGCGCTTGTGTATCTCTTTATTTGCTGCTTCTTTTGTTGTTGTTGCTGCTGCTGCTGCTGCTGCTGGGTTTGCTGCTGTTGCTGCTTCCGTGTTTGCTGCTGCTGCTTTTAGGCTGTCTCCTCTCTGATCTTTTTGTCTCTTTTCTTGTTTTGCCTCCTTCCTGCTATTTTGTATAAACCCTAAACCCTAAACCCTCCTCTTCGTTTTGTGCTGCAGCGCGAAGGGGACAGCTTCATCTCCATCTGCTGCTGAGGGTTAGTTTATGTGAATTTTATTTATTTATTTATTTATTTATTTATTTATTTATTTGTTTATTTGTTTATTTATTTATTTGTTTATTTGTTTATTGTTTGCTTTGCTGTTCTTCCCTCACTTAGTTATTTTGTTGTTTGTCTATTATTTGTTTTTGTATTTCTTTCTTTTTGTCTCAAGCGTTTGTTTGTTTATTTGTTTTGTTCTTGTCTTGTTTATATCTTTGTTCATTTCTATGTTTATTTATTTATTTATTTATCTGTTTGTTTGTTTGCTGCTGCTATTCTTTTGTTTTATCTCCTTTTGTCTCTTCGTTTAATTTGCATTTAATTGTCTCCTTTTTCTTCTTGCTGCTGTCTCTTGCTGTGTTCTTAGCAGCAGCAGCAGGCGGTACTTCTGCTGCTGCTTCCGATGCTCAGCAACAACAGCAGCAGCAGCAGGGCGCAGCAGCAGCAGCACCGGAAGGCGCGTCCCCCACATCTAGCAGCAGCAGCAGCAGCAGCAGCAAGAAGTGCTTCCAATTTAACCCCAACGCGAACAGCTTTACCCCTGCTACTCCCTCGCATGCAGCAGTAGCAGCTGGGTATCGTTTTGCTGCTTCTGCTGCGAATACAGCTGCTGCAGCAACAGCAGCAGCAGCAGCAGCAGCAGGTGCAAGGCCCCCGCAGCTGTTTCCTGCTGCTGTTCCTTTAGTAGGGGCTGCTGCTGCAGGCGCAGCAGAAGCGAGAGATAAGGCGGGCAGCAGTGGCGGGCAGCAGCAGCAACTGCAGCAACAGCAGCTTGCTGCAGCAGCTGCAGCAGCAGCAGCAGCAGCACGGGCTCATCCACAGTCGCTTGCAGGGGGTGCTGCGGGTGTGCCGATGCCTCCACCTTTAGGTATGTATGGGTCAGCAGCAGCAGCAGCAGCAGCAGCAGCAGCAGCAGCAGCAGCAGGCGGTGTTGGGCAGACATTTGCGGGTCCCCCTGCTACCCCTGGAAGCGTGCTTGGAGATGCAGCAGCAGCAGCAGCAGCAGCAGCAGCAGAAGCTTCTTTAATTGTTGATGGTGTTGCTCTTGGCGGCTCCTTTACCCCTGAAAGTTCTTATGCACATCCGGGCCTACCTATGACTATGGTGCGCTATTAAATAAATAAATAAAATAAATAAATAAATAAATAAATAAATAAATAGAGATATATATAAATCATATGTACAAGTATATAGATATGTAAATAAATAGGTGGGAGTAGATAGATAAAACAAAGAGAGAGAGATAGTCAGTGTACGAAAGGAGATAGAAATTTAATATTATATTAATATAAAGAGACAGATGTGCATGATAAATAAATATATTAAATAAATAAATAAATAAATATATAAATTATATATATATGAGCAGCAGCAACTAAAGAGAGACAAAAATATAGGAGAGAAAAACAAATAAATAGACAGAGACAGTCTATGGTTGATCAACCCTCATAATCCTTCTGCTTCTGCTGCTTTTGCTGCTGCTGCTGCTGCTTCTGCTGCTGCCCTGCCTCTTCTTCTGCTGCTCCTTCTCCTTCTGCTGCTGCTGCTGCTGCTGCTATATGTTGCAGGCGTTTGGGGCTTTCCCTGGGGGTTTGCATGCACCTTCACGTCAGCAGCCGTGGAGACCGCTGCTGCCTCAGCCGATGCCTTTGGGGGCCCCCGGGGGCCCTCATAGAGAAACTTCTGTAAAGCTGTCTGTCTTTAATACTGCATTTGAAGGGGTATGCTGAGCTGTATAGAGCAGAGACAATACACTAAAAGATGTTGTCTTTGTTTGTTTGTTTGTTTGTTTGTTTGCTTGCTTGTTTGTTTATTTGTTTATTTATTTGTTTATATATTTTTATATTTGTTTGTCTGTTTATTTTTGTTTGTTTGTTTGTTTGTCTGTTTGTTTTTGTTTGCCTTTTGTTGTATTTATTTATGTCTTTGTTTATTTTTTTATTTTTATTTTTATTTTTATTATTCTTCATTTATATGTTTTTAATGTTGTCTTTTTCTGTGTCTTTGTTTGTCTTGGCTTTATTATATTTATTTAATTTAATTTGTTTTTGTTTGTTTTTCAGAGGGAAGCTAACCGTCATATAGGGTCTCCTCGCTCTCTCGCCCCTGGGGCTTTTCTTAGTGCTGCAGCAGCAGCAGCTGCTGCTGCTGCTGCTGCTCTTGCAATGCCTCTCAAAGCAGACAGCCCGGATTGGTCGCCAGTGGGTAAGTCAGCGGGGTGCTGCATCTGCTGCTGCAGGCTGCTGTTTGTGCTGCTGCTGCTGTTACTGCCGCTGCTGCTGTTTGTGCTGCTGTTGCTGAGGATTTAGCAGCCACTAGATCTGCAGGGCGTAGTGTGGGTTTAGGTTTCGCTCACCTGCTGCTGTTGCTGTTGCTGCTGCTGTTGCTGCTGCTGCTGCTGCTGCAGGGGATCATTTGTACAGAGACCTCTTAAACCAGGGGCCCCAGGGGCCCTATTGCTTCCCTGACCCCGCAGCTTCTTTCGCTCAGCCTTTTCCTCGTGGGTGCTAAAGGGTCTAGGGTTTAGGGTTTAGGGTTTAGGGTTTGTTTCTTTGGGGCTTTGCGCTTAAGAGGGGTTTAGGGTTTAGGGTTTATCAAGGGTTTAGGGTTTAGGGTTTGTTGAAGGCTTAGGGTTTAGGGTTTATTAAGGGTTTAGGGTTTAGGGTTGGTAGCTGCGGGTGCTGCGGTTTCTTTTGCTGCTGCAGTGCGGCTGCAGCGACCTTCATTGTCGCCTTCGCCTCTGTATGGATTTGGTCAGCCGTTGCTGCTGCAGCAAGCAGCACTGGGGGCCCCTCCAGGGGCCCCCAGTGCGTTGCCTTATCCTGTGATGTTTGCTGCTGCACCGCAGCTGCCGCCAGGACATCCCTATGCTTTCTTGTCTGCTGCTGCTGCTGCTCCCCCGCAGCAGCAGCAGCAGCAGCAACCGCCACCCCCACCGCAGCAGCAGCAGCAGCAGCAGCAGCAGCATCCTCCGGCCCATGGTGGCAATACAGGGAAGCAGCAAAGACATCACCAGCAAGGTGGAGGCTCCCCTCCAGGCTCACAGCAGCAGCAGCAGCAGCAGCAGCTTGATGCTGCAGGGCATGATGCAGCAGCAGCAGCAGCAGCAACAGCAGCACCTCAGGGGCCCCGAGGTGCAGCGTCTCCCCACGTAGGTGGGCGAGGCGGGTCCAGCCACAAATCTGCTGCTTATAAATACGGCTCTCACGGAAATAGGGTAAGCACAGCAGCAACAGCAGCAGCTGCTGCTGCTTCTGCTGCTGCTTCTGCTGCTGCGTCTGGTGCTGTTGTTGCTGTTGCTACCGCTGTTGCTATTGTGTGTTCCTTGGTGGTGTCGGGCTGCTGCTATTGGTGTGTTGCTGCTGCTGCTGCTGTAAAAGCTAAGTTTACTACTGCTGCTGCTGCGGTAGGCTCGAGTTGTTTGTTTGCTTCTTCGTGCGGCTGCAGCATCAACAGCAGCATCAGCAGCAGCAGCAGCAGCAATTCCAGCAACACTTACCGATGAGGGGCGGCCCATTTGGAGGAGGCGGCAATATGCAGCAGCAGCAGCAGCAGCAGCATCAGCAGCAGATGCTGCAGCAAGGGCCTTTATCACCAATGGTTGGGTCTAGCGCCCCAGCAGCAGCAGCAGCAGCAGCAGCAGCAGCAGCAGCTGGTGCAGCAGGAGCAGGAGTGGTGCCTCCTCCCCACCCGCCTTTGCCTCCAGTATTGCCTGCGGCACCAGGAGGAGGAGGTGCTGCTGCTGCTGCTGCTGGGCCTTCAAGAGCAGCAGATGTCGCAAGAGCAGCACAAATACCCCCGCAAATGAACAACGGAAATGCAGGGGCGGTGGATTTAGTCTGCCAGTGAACATATGCTGCAGCAGCAGAGCAGGAGCAGCTTCTGCTGCTGCAGCAGCAGCTGCTCTTGCTGCTGCTGCTGCTGTTGCCGTTGCTGCTGCGTAAGTTGCTGCTTGAACCTCGGTGGAGGGCCTCCCAGCTAACAGCAGCTGAGGGGCTGAGCGATGGCAGCCGCTACCAGCCGCAGCAGCAAAAGGAACTGCTGCAGCAGCTGCTGCAGCAACTGCTGCAGCATCAGCATCGGCACCAGATGAGGAGACAGCCTATGCGAAGCGCAGCGCAGGAGGAGGGGGATGGTAGCAGCAGCAGCGGAGGCAACGGGCGCTGCTGCTGCTTCTGGCGCTGCTGTTTGCTGCTGCTGCTGCTGTTTACGTTCTTGCTGCATATACGCACACATCCTTGCATGCATGCGGCGTTACAATGGTGGTGCTGTCTCGGAGGACAGAGAAGGCACAATAAAGAAGAGCTGCTGCTGAATCGCAGCAGCAACAGCAGCAGCAGCAACAGCAGCAGCAGCAACAGCAGCAGCAGCAACAGCAGCAGTACTAGCAGTAGCAGCAGCAGCAACAGCAGATGCTGCTGCTGCTGCGGCGGCGGCGGTGTCGCCGACGGCGGCGTTGCCAGTAGCAGGGTGGGGAGTTTACCCCCCTCGTGGAAGACCCGCAGCAGCAGCAGCAGCAGCAGCAGCAGCAGCAGCAGCCGCAACAGCACACATGCCTCGCTGCTGCTTCGATGCATTTGCGCGTGGGCATTCCTTCCAACTGCCATTTGTATTTAAAGTTTGTCTCCTCCTCTGCTGCTGCTGCCATTGCTGCTGCTGTTGCTATTGCTGCTGCCCTTGCTTTTGCTGCTGCTGCACAGCCAAAGTAATAATAAAGGCAGCAGCAAATATCTTGAGGGATATTTTAATAGAGGCGTTAAACAACGCATGCAGGCGTAGTAATACTAATAATAAGAAAGAAGAATATTATAATAATAGCAGCACTAATAATTAATAATATAGTAGATATATAATCTAACAATAATAGTAATAATAATAATAATAATACGAGTAGTATAGTAGTCAACAGACCCAACTATTATTAATATTATTATTATTATTAATAAAATATTATTATTATTATTATTATTATTAATAAAATATTATTATTGTTGTTTATTATTATTAATAAAATATTATTATTATTAATTATTATTAATAAAATATTATTTTTATTATTTCGGGCGGTGTTTCTGATGGCTAGCTGCTGCTATCTTTCAGCTAGCTGCCCCTGCTATAGCTCTCTATGAAGCTTTTAACAGCGACAGTTACTGCTAGCTGTTGATGCTGTGATTAGCTGTGCAGCTACCTGCTGCTGCTGCTGCTGCTGCTGTTGCAGCAGCAACAGCTGCAGCACCCCTTTCGGTGCTTCCTCCAACACAAACGAAACCCTAAACCCTTAACGGGGCACAACGCATGCAAGTCGATGCTGTACAAATGCTGCTGCTGCAGCTGCTGCAGCTGCGGCAGCAAACAGCCAGCAGAAGCAAAACTGCAGCAAGCTGAGTTGAGGCAGCCCCTAGAGCACCCACAGGGCCCCAGGGGGCCCCCAGGGGGCTGCTGAGGGGCCCCCCTATATAAACGTAATACAGCAGAAGACAGCATGCAAACAAGAGACAGCAAATATGCTGTCTACCTCTCACTTCACCTGTTGCTGCTGCTGCATTTGCTGCTGCTGCATTTGCTGCTGCCGCCATGGCTGCTGCTCTTCCTGAAGGCCCTACCACCGTTGCATTCAGAGCGATGCCTTCTCGAGCTGCAGCATCAGTTGCTGCTGCTGCTGCCGCTGTTGCTGCCGCTGCTGCTGTTGCTACTGCTGCTCTGTAACGCAGCTCTGCCTCTAATGCAGCTGCTGACATTCCGCTTCATCCGGTGGCTGCTGCTGTTGCTGCTGGTGCTGCTGTTGCTGCTGCAGTTGCAGCGTCTGCGGCTGCTGCTCGTGCAGCTGCACCTGTTCCTGCAGCATGGGTTGTTTTTGCTGCTGCTGCAGTTGATCCAGTCGCTGCGAACGTTCCTCTTCTTCATGCAGTTGCTGTTGCAGCTGCTGTTGCTGCTGTTGCTGTTGCGACTGCTGTTGCTGCTGTTGCTGTTGCGGCTGCTGTTGTTGCTGTTGTTGCTGCTGCTGCTCATCAGTCCCTGGATCACTTGTCTGCTGCAGCTGTTCCTTTTGCTTCCTCTTCTTTCGCAGGGGGCCCCTGGGGGCCCCCCCCGCAGCTGCTTCAGGTGGCGATGCTGCAGGGAGACAATATACCTTATTATTCGCTGTGGCTGCTGATCCTGCTGCTGCTGCTGCTGCTGCTGCAGGCGGTGGTGGTGCTGCTGTTGTTGCTGCTGTTGTGTTTGCTGCAGCACTTTCTGCTGCTGTTTCTGCTGCGGCAACAGTTGCTGCTGCTGCAGCGCCGTAGAAGCTTGGCTGCAGCGTCGAGGGTTGAGGCCCCTGTAATACTCCCTCCTGCTGTTCTTCTGGTGAATCAGCAGCAGCAGCAGCAGCAGCAGCATCGAACGTGCGTGCATGCGCTAGAGGCCCTAAGGCTGGGGGATCCTCTGCCTCCAAGCGGGTTGCTGCTGCTGCTGCTGCCATTGCTGTTGCTGCTGCTGCGCCTCGGGGAGGAGTGCTACCAAAGACAGGACCTGCAGCGACAAGCAGCAGCAAACCCTAATCCTCTTCTCATGCGCACAGGCCAGTCGCAGGGGCAGCAGCAACAGCAACAGCAGCAGCAGCAATAGAAGCAGCAGCAGCAAGAGCGGCAGCACCAGCAGTTACAGCAGCAACGAATGCCATCAGCAGCAGAAGCAGCAGGAACTGCAGCAGCACTACTAATACCAGCCAGCAGCAGCAGTAACAGCAGAAGCAGCAGTAACAGCAGCAGTAGCAGCAGCAGTAGCAGCAGCAGCAGCAACAGCAGCAGACCTAAGATGGCTCCAAGCTGTTCCATAGTTGAGAGTTCCTTATCCACCAGCCGAACCCTCACATGCGACCCGAAGGCAACGCGGCGTCTTTGCTGCTGCTGCTGCTGCTGCTGCTGCTTGTGGTCATCTTGTTGTTGCTGCTGGCCATCGCATCCTGCAGCAGCAGAAGCAGCAGCAGAAGCAGCTGCTGCTGCTGCAGCAGAAGCGCGAGGGTGTGCAATGAGACAGCTCTTCAGAGGGCGTGGTTCGCTGCGAGTTTGCCCTGAGTCTATCAGATGAGGAAGCAACGGTACAAGTGGGGGCCCCTCTGTGTCTGTTGGGGGCCCCTCTTCAAGACTATCTGCTGCTGCAGAAGAAGCTGCAGCAGCAGCAGAAGCTGCAGCAGAAGAAGCATAACCAACTGGATATGCAGTTACTTCCTCTTGGGGCCCCTCCCCCTCACTAGAACATGCAGAACTCTCTTTCTGCTGTCCTGCTATCATAGGGGCCCCTGCGGGGCCCCCACGATCCCCTGAGGGGCCCCCACGATCCCCTGAGGGGCCCCCTATAGACTGGGGGTTCAGGCTTAGTTTGCTGTCAGGGGGCCCCCTCTCCCCCGAATTGTTTGCTTCTTCTGTCTCTGTCTTCACTTCAGCATCAACGGAATGCACGAGATTGTTTAAGGTACCCTCTAAGGGGGGCCCCTCAGCCCCTGGTAGGCCCCCAGGGGGGCCCCCCTGGGAGCCCCCAGTGAGGGGGGTCCCCCCCTTACCGGGGGCCCCCTGTGGGGTGACGGGTTTCTTAATATGAGTAGTATTGTTTGGTGTCTGTTGTGTAGATACACCTAACTCTAACCAGTAGTCTTCTTTAGGGTCATAGGGGGGTGAACGAAGCCCCTCTCTTGCTGCAGAAAGCTTAGGATCTGCTGCTGAGCCTCGGTGTAGGAGCAGCGCATGCTGCTTGACGGACCTGAAGGCTGCTGCGGTGTATGTACACAGAGGACAGTGAAAATGCCAGCAAACCAAAGGATCGGGGGCCCCCTGAACATTAGAGGGGGGGCCCCCCTCTCTTGCAGAAACACAAACACCCACGGGCCCCCCTGCGGGGCTCATAGAACGACGTACACGCGAAGAACGAAAAGACATAACTCCCTCCTCGGCTGCTGTAGCATTTGCTGCTGTTGCTGCTGCTGCTGCTACAGTTGCTGTCGCTGCTGCTGCTGTTGCTGCTGCTGCTGTTGATGCTTCGCAGAGGGTGGGAGAGGTAGAGGCTGCAGAATCGCTAGAGTGCACCACAGGGGCTCCTCCTGCTGCAGTTTCTGCTGCAGGTGCCTCTGCTGCTGCCGGCACTGCTGCTGCAGTTGCCCCATCTGCTGCTGCTGCTGTTGCTCCTGCTGCTGCTGCTGCTGTGTCTCCTGCATCGCCGCTTGCACCGCCGTCGCAAGCCGCATCGTTCGAATGGTCCTGAAGAACATGCACACATATAGACGCCGCGAATCCCAGCAGCAGCAACAGCAGCAGCAGCAACAACAGCAGCTGCAGCAGCAACAACAGCAGCAACGGCAGCAGCAACAGCAGCAGCAGCAAGTTATGAGGTGCATACCAGCCTGCAGGGGAAGCAGACGAAAGCACCTAGATATCTTCTTCTTCTCCAATGATGCCTCCGATAGTGCACAAAGTTTTTATGATAGACGTTGGGCCCCCAGACAGCAGGCGAGCAGAGAGGGCATTCAAAACGCTGCAGATATCTGCGACCCTGCAGCAGCTGTGGGGCACCCACTGCATGCATGCCTTCTATCCGCAGCGGCAACACTGGGGCCCGCAGCAGCTCTGCAGCCGTACGCGGAGGGATTGCTGCTGCTGCTGCTGCTGCTGCAACCAGTAGCTGCTCGCTGCATGCAGAGCCGCTGCTCTCCTCTCCCTCAGAAGATAAAGGAGAAGAAGTGCTTGACTCATCTCCTGCTAATGAATCTTCTTCTGCTGCAGGGGGCCCCTCAACCCTGCTGCCAGCAGGGGGCCCCCCCAAAGGCTTCTTCTTAGGGGGTCTACCCACAGGTCGAGGAAGGCGTCGCTTCCTATCCGGAGGCCCCCTAGCTACTGCTGCTGCTCCTGGTGCTGTTGCTGCTGCGTTTGCTTCTGCTCCTTCTGTTCCCTCTGCTGCTGCTGCTGCTTGTGTTGCTTTTGCTGCTGCAGCTACGGGGGGTGCAGCCGGCACACCAGTGTGTGGGGGTCTCCCTCTGGGAGCCCCCTGTGGGGGCCCCGGCCCTTCCCTGGGGCCCCTAGTTGACTGCTGCATGTCTGCTGATGCTCGCTTCGTTCCTCTTCGTGTTGCAGCTTGCCGTGAAGACAGAGGGGCTGAGAGGCGCGAACCACCTCGCGGTTCAGAAGTAGTAGCAGCAGCAGCAGCAGCAGCAGCAGCAGGAGCAGCAGCACGATGCGTAGGGTAGAAGGAAGGGGCCTCTACCCCCGTTTCTGCATGCACCAGTGCATGCCAAGGGAGCTGAGAGGCTTCTGGGGCCCCCCCCCCAACAGGCCCTGGGGCCCTGGGGGCCTCCACAGGCGGCAGTTGGCTGCAGCGCCTCAGCATATGCAGCAGCCGCACAGAGGCAGCAGAAACAGAAGCTGAATCCACGCATGGCGCTGCAGCAGGAGGTCTCTGTAGGGCTGCCCCCTCTCTACAGACCCCTCCAAAAGACCCCAAGGAGGGGGCCCCCTGGGGGCCCCCACTCTGCGAAGCGGCCGCAAGAAGCCTGGAAGACAGACAGGAATAGGCTGGGGGGCGTTGAAGACCGATAGGCGCACCACTTTGCTGCTGCTGATTAAGGGGCCCCTCAGGGGGCCCCCCAAGGGCCTCCCAACTCCTCCCTGCGCGCCGTGCAAGTGGTAGCAGACGTACAGCCTGCAGCACATTGCGATCCGGTACCGGCTGCTGCTGACCCTGTTGTTGTTGCAGCAGCAGCTGCTGCTGCTGTTGCTGCTGCTGCTGGTGGTGGTAGATCGGTAGTCCTCTTAGCGGGGGCGTTGCCCCCTCCCTCTGGGGCCCCACTGGGCGTGCTGCTGCGACAGCCAGTGCCATGCGGCGGGCCTCCGCAAGCCTCAATAGAGAAGCAGCTGTAAGCTGCAAAGCAGCAGCATTTGGAGGGCCCCTCGGAAGTGTTGCTGGGTTTAGAGAAGACGCCAGGGGCCCCTGCAACAGCTGCTGCAGCTGGCTGTAGAGCCGCACCTGCTGCCCCAGCAGCTCCAACACAGGGGCCCCTTGCGCCTCAGGGGCCCCCGAAGCGCCACCTAAACCCTCGGGAGAAGCAGAGGGGGTGGATCCTCCTTCTGAAGAAACCATCTGCATTGTATGAGGCCCCCCCTCCTATCCTGGCTGCCCGAAGCACCCGTAGGAGCTCAGCAGCAACGCCGGTGCGGGACAGAGGGAAGCAAGCAGCAGACAGCTGCAGCTGCTGCTGCTGCTGCTTCTGCTGCTGGCGCGTCCAGCGCATGCTGCGGGGCCGCTAGCAATCAGAGCGCGAGCCCTGCTGTCTGTACAGAGGCAGCAGCGGGGGATAACATTGATTGCAGCTGCACCTGCAGAGCCTCCGCCGCGCCAGGTCTATGAAGACGCTTCGAGAGCAGCAAGTGAGGCCATCTCAAAAACACCACCTACGGTATTATGAAGAGGAAAGAAGTGATGGGGGCCCCCGCTGCTGCTGCTGCTGCTGCGGTCGGCTCTGGAGGCCCGGGCCCCCTCAGCTGTCGGGCGCGCCAGACAACGCAGAGCGAAGAAGAACGGCTCGTGAGCATCAACCATAAAGCCAACGTCTTTATTTCGAGCCAAGTGCACCCCTATGCAAGATACAAATGAAGGCGGAGACGCAAGCAGAACGAACGCCGGCAACCTACGGGTGCTGCTGCGGTGCAGAGGAAGCAACAAGAGAAACAAGGATGCGTCTGCGCTTGCTGGGGTAAGGCTGATAAGCGCCCTGCAGGCCCGCGTGTGCATGCATCAAAAAACGATAAAGTATGCGGCTAGTTAATGCTGCAACCCCACGTTCGCAGAGCAGACGTGTTGGGTATTATTCAGCAGCAGGCGGTGGAGGAGGCAGATGAGGGTTTCCCTAAAAAAGCGCTCGCTTTCTACTTAAACTTCTTTGAGAGAATCTTAGCAACGGTTCCAGAATGCAAGAACAGGGCCAAAGAAGAAATTTCTCCCCCAATGTTTCGGGTTCCTCTGTGGGGCGGGGGCATGCATACTGCATGATTCCGCGAGTTCTGTTTGTTTTTTGAAGCAAATACGCTTTTTGAGCTGCCTTAAAAGCGCAAAGGAAGATGAACGGCTTGGAGATGGGGAGGTTTATCAGCGGATCGCACGCCCTGCAAAGCTGCAAACTGCAGGAGCCCAGTGGTGCGGCCGCCATGAACTCAGCTGTATTGGCAGCTCACTGTACGGCCTCGCCATTCAAAAAAACGGGTTTCCACTTATAAATTACAATATTTCATTAAAGTTCAGCTTTCCAGAGACGTACTTCTGAGCAGTGATGCACGGAGGCATACAATGAACGAAAAATATTAATGTCGGCTGCCAGACGTCAACAAAGCGGTACGTAAGCATACATTGTTAAAAGACACTTTCACTTGCAATAAGCCTTGAATAGCACCAGAAATGCATCATAATTAAACTCCATTTATGCATTTTTGCAAAACCAGTGCACGTACACCCGGGCCGTCGCTCATCATATAAAAATTGCGAGATTTTTTATTTCAGCTAAGATATCTTCTTAGTGCCACGGTAAAGATGCGTTTATATCCCCTCATTCTCTTGAGTTTGTTGTTTCTGCTACCGCCTGCTTCCGGTGTGCGGGAGGGCCCCAATGGTTTACGTTCTCGTATAATGGCTGCACGAAACCTAGGGATTCCTCTTACTCCTGAGGTGTATCAGGAGCTGCTAACGCTGCAGCAGCGGCTTCCAATTGAACCGTATGCAGAAATCATCACTACTCCTGCCCCTCTTTCGCACTCTCCCTCTCGCACAACGACGAGCGCGCCTTTATCGGCAGGTGCAGCTGCAGCTGCAGCACAAGAAGCAGCAGCAGGAGCAGCAGCAGCAGCAGAACCCAGCACAAATACTGGGCTCCAATTCTCTGATAAAGCCTACATGTATACTCTGCTTGGATTCTGTGTAGTGTTTGGGGGAGGCTACCTGTATCTTCCGGTAGGTTTCTTGTTGATTAAGTTACTAGACGAACGCGATATGAGTGCATCCATGTTTTTGTCTTCAGTTTGTTGCAAATAGCCCGACGGTAAGCAGATAAAAGGCAAACAAAACCGTAAACCCTAATCCCTAATACCTCTGACAACAAATTGCTTTATAGTGGGAGAGAAGCTTTCTTATGTTGACAGCGAGCTTGCTGGTGTTTTATGTCTCTATCGCCGCTTTCATAAATGCAGAAGTCCGGTAAGCTGAGTTTGCAGCGAGATTAGCGGTATACTAAGCCACAATATTTTTTATTTAAAGGCCTCCTATTGCTTTGTCTGTCTCTGGGGGCCTCCTACTTACGACATATCGTAAGCAGTACTTCTTTTGCATGCAAATGAGAAATGCACTTTGTGCAAATCTTCTTTCAGTTGCAACGCTGTCTCGGCCGGAAGTAGTTGGTGGGTAATTTTGTTGATTATTATCTCCTGAAGCTGCAGTAATTCGTTTCTAACTCTCAGGCTGGTTTGTTCATCTGTTTTTTTAATCTCGAATTCGGGTGTTAGACAAGAAAGGCGTTCAGGAGTGTTATTGTCTTCTTTGCTTATTTTCTCTGTCTTACGCTGATCTGTAAGGATATATTTTGAATCTTATTGCTCTTCATAGTATTTCACAAACAAGGTGGCTCCTATCTTCAGACAACCTGACGGTATTTTGCCTGAAAATATGAAAGAAATAAACAAAGGAAGGAAATTCAACTCCCTACATAGGCGTTTATCTTCGGCTCTCGTTTCGGGTTGCTTGGCGTTATTCCTGGGTTTATTCGCCTTAATTCATCTTTGCAGAAGTTGATATGTGGGTTTCATTACTTTGTAAATCACGCAAAAGTATTTCATTATTTATTATTTTAAATTCACTTTTCAGACTGGATAGCCATGGCGCTGGGCGCCGCCTGTCTGTTTAGCAGACACATCCAGGGCGACGCGGTTAGCTATTAATATTTGAATAAAATGAGTTTTTAATTGCAGTTTCAATATGAGAAAACTCAGGAAAAATGTCTGCCGCCAGCAGTAAACAAGAATCTCGTTTCATCATGTGTATGCGCCTGGCTCGGTCTCGTTCAGATTGTGTTTGGGTTTGCATTAAAAGGGCTTATTCTAGAAACACCATTTGAGGTAAATTTGTTTTTTAAATGTTTATTTATTCCGTATATTCTTTTTATTCTAAATCCCTTCAGCCTGTTGGTTTCTTCACCTTGCCGGGTAGGGCCAGTGATGTCTGTTTTTCTTGCAATCTCAGATGTATGAAGCATTTCTTGTTGAATTGCAGTGAAATTTGATTATTTCGCTATTGAAAACTTCACTATGCTGGTGAGCGGCTTTATTTAAGACTAAATTTCGGTATATTCATCATAAAAACCCGCAGATCCTGCTGACCGTTCTGGGCGTAGCTGGCTATCAAATACAGCAAAAAAGAGATAAACTCCCCCTTCTTATGGAAACGTATCCTTCCTTAGAAAGAGAAGAACGCCCTCTCGAATAAATAATCAACAGCTGAGGGGCCCTCATATCTTCTCCCCCTGGCGCCGCGAACTGCCGCTTTCTTAGGGCGCCCCTTTATTATAAAATAATATAATGCAATCCCTGAAGTATAAACACACAAAAACATACAGATGGGCACGTACGCTCATATACATCATTCGTTTCATTAAAAGAATCCTCTTTATTTCTGGAGTGTATATATTCGCGTTGTACATGAGTGTGCGCAAATAATGGCTATGACTGTTATACAAATATATACAAACATATACAAGTACATACAAATATATACAGATATATACAAATATATATATATATATATATATATCTACAAATGCATATAGCATTTTATGTACATCAAAGGAGAACATACTCCACCCACCTGATTCAGATTTGCTTTCTCTAAGAGCAACAGCTTCTGCGGCTCCGCGTCTCAACAGCCTTCTAACATCCCCCAATGAGCGCAGAGGGGTATAGCTGCTGCTGCTGCATGCGACAGGGCTGCTGCAGCACCACCACCTACCCTACCCTCTCTGTAGCTAGGGGCCAGACAAAGACGAAGAAGAAGAGCCCCTGGCTTTGCTTAGCCTCTTTCTCTGATCCACACAATATGTAGGTAAAAAGAAGCCTCGAAGGAATCCAAAGTATAAATAAATGAAAAATATATTTGTGTATATAATTCATCTTCACTACACTTCAGATATATGGCAATGTATACAAACGAAAAGAGGCCCGTTCCCCCAGCGACAAAAGATATTAACCGCAGCTTCACCAGACTGTACTGAGCCTCTGCAGCAGCCGGTAGTACACAAAGCCCAGCAAAGAAAGGTGAAAGTTATCGATATCGTTTGTGTATGCCTGCATAGCAAAGAACAGCAGAAAAATAAAGAATATACTGGTCTTAGAAGGCCTCATCAGCATGCACAGGTTGCTGCTGCAGCTGCTTCGTACACTCAATCAAACAGCTTCTAGAAAGAAAGAAATATAATATAAACAACCCACCTCGAACAGCCCTGCAGCCACAACGGCAATGAAAAAGGAAAAGAAATGCAAATAGGGCCCCTGCAGTGCGTACACCACACAGCATACAACAAAACAAAACGAAGAAAAACAGAAACCTTCAGGTCTAGCAGCAGGTAGAGATGCGTCAGCACAAGCCCCCGTCTAATATCTCTAGAGCTTCAAAGCCCTTTATACAAACCCCAACGGCAAACCTCTATCCCTGCATGCAGCAAATCTGCAGCAATCGCTAGCCGCATGAGGCCCCCAGGAAGCAGCATCAAGATAGCCAACACAAGCCAGTACAGTAAACCCTAAACCCTAAACCCCAATGTGCACTCCAGCGGACCCGCAGAGCAGCTCTTCACAAGCCCAAGCAACAGCAGCAGCAGCAACAGCAGCAGCAACAGCAGCAGCAGCAGGAACCTCACCAGGTGCAGCAGAGAGAATATCCCCCAACCGAACAACCAGCTGCTCAGTATAAACCCCAGAAGACCCCCTACCGTCTTATGCGAGGCAAAGGGCAGCACAGGAGAGGCGCAGCGAGCCCCTACTACAGCAGCTATGGAGTCACCGCAGCCAACGAAGATGAGACCAAGGAGGCTGGGGGGCCCCCCGGGGGCCCCTGTAGCAGCTGCAGTGGCTAGCAGCGGAGCTGCAACCCCCAGCAGCAGATATATATGTGTCAGCACTAGCCCTTCAATCATATCTCTAGAATCGGTAAACCCTTCATATGCATTTTCTATAAACGAAGAAAACAAAACCCCTAACCCTCTCCCTGCACGCAGCACTTCTGCAGCAATTGTCAGATATAAGAGGCCCCCGCACACCAACACTAACAAAGATAATGCACCTGCCTTCATTATTAACAACAAATTAAAAGCCAGCAAGAAGTGAAAGAACTTCCGCAGCACAGACAGACGAAGGCATGCAGAACCAGAAGCCCTCTTGCTGCTGCCCCTCAACCCGCTGCTGCTGCTGCTGCTTTGTTGACTTTTACTGCTGTTGCTGCTGTTGCTGTTGCTGTTGTTGTTGCTGCTGCTGCTTGTGCTGCTTTTGCTGTTGCTGTTGTTTCTTCTAGCAGCAGCAAAGGCGAAGGCAAGTCCTGCAGCAGAAGTAGCGAGGAGGCTCAGCAGCAGCAGCAGATGAGTGGTATCGAATAAAGCAAAAGACAGCAGCCACATAAAGGGGTTTTGCTGCTGCCCCTCTTTGTTTAGAAAGCGGAGGGGCCCCGTACCATACACCAGAAATAAAACAACAGAAAGAAGAAAGCCCGCACTAACCACCTTACAAAAGGCTGCATTGAGGGGCCCCCTCTGAAGCAGCAACGCTATCAACGAGAACAAACAAAACAAAAAAAGAAGAAAATACATACAAGATAAAAACAACAACACCTCCCAGCAGATGGGGGCCCCCCATTGCCCCGGCAGCGACAGGGGGCCCCCCTCAAGGGGGCCCCCCGGGTGCTCCTGCAGCAGCTGCTGCTGCTGCTGCAGCTGCTGCTGCTGATTGAAAGCAAAAGCAAAAACAATGGAGGCTGCAGCAGCGAGGTGAGCGAGGGTAGAGGCCTCTGCGAAACTCAGCTGCTGTTTGCCGTACATACACCAGAAATACATAAAAAAAGAATATAACAAGAGAGCAGCAGGGTACAGCCAGGGGTATTGAGAGCTTCCGGGGGCCCCCGCAGCAATGAAGGCAAGCCACATAAACAGCAGCATGGGCAGCTTAGCTAAGCCGCCAGCAGCAGCAGCAGAAGCAGCAGCAGAAGAAGCAGCAGAAGAGGAAGAAGGGCCCAGCAGCAAAACCCACTGCAACGCTGCGGTAATCAGAGCCGTAGGCAGATCTGTCAGGAGGCCCCCGGGGAGGAAGTAGGCGGGGCTCTTGCTGCTGCTGCTGCTGCTGCAGCAGCAGCAAGAGAGAAACAGGGGCAGCAAAGCAATGCCCACCACATATGAAGAAGGCCCCTCACAAGAACGAGATTTTTCTACTTTAACAGCAGCAAAAGCTGCTCCTGCTGCTTCTGCTTTTGCTGCTGCTGTAGCTTTGTCGGTTCCTACTGCTGCTGCTGCTGCTGCTGCTGTTGGTGTTGTGCTGTCGTTTACTCCGCCGAAGGCATCAGCACCCCCCCTCGCGGATTTAAATAAAGATAAGAGACCCTTGGGGGCCCCTGAGCTGCTTGTGGAGGCCCAGCTGTACAGACAGAGAGGTAAGCAGCAGCAGAAACTGCATAGGAGAGGCCAAGGGCTGAGGAGGGGGCCCCCTGGGGGCCCCCCTGGGGGCCCCTCCTCTTGCAGCAGAAAAGCTACTCCCAAAGGCAGCAGCACGAGGAGACCGTCGAAGCCGCAGAAGCGCTGAAATGCTGCAAGCTGCGCTCTTAAAGGCGGAAGCAAAGACACAAGAAAACCCTTAGCAGAGGTATGAGGGGGGGCCCCCCTAGAGGGGGCCCCCAGAGCTGCTGGAGTTGCAGCAGTTTCTTCAGGTGTTTTCATCTGTCTTTGGCGAATTCTACTCATTTTAAATTAATTAATTAGCATATCAAAAACAGATAAAAATAAATACACGAAAGAGTGTATGTACAGCTTGAACGCGCAGCTGCTGCTGCAGCTGCCATAGATAAGAGGTATTATTAAATGCTGCTAAGAAGAGGGAGGCTAAAAGAAAGAATAAAAAACATTTTATTAAAATAAAAGAAATAAATAAATAAATAAATATATTATAATAAAAGTTCTTAGGACGCCACAACCAATGAAGGGGGCCCTCATCCACCACAAGCCCTAACTAAGACAGGAGGAGGTAAAGTTTGTGTATATAAAATATGTTTTGTTTATTAATTAAAATAATAATATTTTGAAATGAGTATTTATTAAAAGTGTTTTTAATAATAACTCAGCATAGCCTTTACTGGCTGAATTTTCAGAGAAATACCCCCTTTAATAAAGCTGTCTTGTGTCTGCTGTTTGCGGCTGTTGTATATATTTATCAATCTCTTTATCTTTGTTTTTCTTTGTCTTTATCTCTTCTCTTCATTTATTTATCTTTATTATTACTTTCTTTCTTTATTACCTTTCATTGCCGGCAGCTCTTAACCTCTTTGCTAGCGGGGGGCAGGGGGGGGGGCCCTCTGTTATATTACCTTTACGAAGATCTCTCTGTATTATTTTTTACTCTTTTTACGTTTATTCTTCTGCTTAACAACTCTATTACTTTGCTGAAGACGCCTCAATGCGCCCCGGGGGGCCCCTTCAAACAGGGGGCCCCCTTAGGTGGGCCCTTAGGGATATAGGGGGCCCCTCAGATAATTTGTATTGTCTTCTAGACACATTCCTTAATCATTGCGAGGCCCTGTCTTCAGCTTTAGAGACTGCAGCAGATGCGGCTTCATATGCAGACCAACCAGCACCAGCAGCAGCTGGTGCAGCAGCAGCAGCAGCAGCAGCACCAGGAGCAGCAGCAGCAGCAGCAGCAGCAGCAGGAGAGGTTGCTAACACATTAGGACCCCCTTTCTCTTCTGTCTTTCTTCATCTTCCTTCTCCTCTTCGTTGTTGGCTTACAAACGCTTTGCAGTGTCTATGGCCTCTCCTCGAGGCCCCTGATTTGTATGAAATAGCACTGCAGCACTTTGCTGCTGCGCTGCAGCAGCACGCGATCGACCGACTTGCTCGCGACCTATGGGCATTCTGCGACCCCCAGACATATGCACTTGCTGCTGCTGCAGCAGGCAGCACCAGCAGCATCAGCAGCAGCAGCATAAGCAGCAGCAGCAGCAGCAGCAGCAGCAGCAGCAGCGGCAGCAACGGTGCTTGGGTAGCTGCTGCTGACGTTGCTGCTTGCATGCAAAGATGCGTTATTAGGGCACACTTACAAATTACTTTCTCCTTAGAGCTGCTGTCAGCGCTGACAGCACACTGGGAGGAGCCTCACCATACACCACAGCAGCAGCAGCAGCAGCAGCAGCAGCAGAGCTGCTGCAGCCCCTTCAGAGACATCTCTGCTGCCTTCATTGCTACAGTAAGAGAAGCAATTGGTGCGAGACAGCCGCCGCATGCAGAAGGGCTGCTGCGGGTGCTGCTGCGGCAGCAAATGAGGAACTTTGCTGCTGCTGCTGCAGTTGCTGCTGCTGCTGCTGCTGCTGCTGCTGCACAAGAAGCACCAACAGCAAACTCCTGCAGACACCAACAAAAAGATGCGGGGGGTGTTGCTGTAAGGCTGCTGATGCTGCTGCTGCAGCAACTGCAGCAGCGCTACAAAGCTGCAGCAACTCCTGAAGCAGCAGCTTCAGTCGCTGCCTTCCTTGCCGCCTCTGCAGCTGAGGAGCCAAACCCAGGCCCGTGGGATCACCAGCAGCAGCAGCAGCAGCAGCATCAGCAGCAGCAGCAGCAGCATCAGCAGCTGCAGCTGCAGCAGCAGTCAAACGATGCAGCTACTATATCCGCAAGCACCCTGGAGGGCCCCCTGCCTACAAATGATGCGTGTCAGCCTCTACTGTTGCTGCTGCTAGTGTTGCTGCTGCTGTTGCTGCAGTCTACGTTTCTACCTTTCTCGTTTTGCTGTTGCTGCTCTGCTTGCTGCTTCTGTGCATTGCATGCATGGCTTGCTGCTGTTGCTGCTGCTGCTTCTGCTGCAGGGACGAAGGCCATAGGGGAGCTGCTTGCTGCTGCAATGAACAGCAACGAAACTTCGCAGGTGCGGCAGCAGCAGCAACAGCAGCAACAGCACAAGAGGCAACTTGTAGGGCGAGCAGAGACACCCCACATATCCCGCAGTTTGCTGCAGCTGCGGGCCCGACGCACAGCGCCTGCTGCCACAGCAGCAGCAGCAGCAGCAGCAGCAGCAGATGAAGAGCTGCGCGAAGGTCAAAGTACCAGTGCAGCCTTCGACTTCAGCAGCAGCAGCAACAGCAGCAGCAACAGCCTTACTGGCCGCAGGTTCTCCCCTCAGCTCCCGGCCCCTCCTCAGCAGTTGCTGCGCGTCTCGCTGCTGCTGCACCGTGTGCTGCAGCAGCCGCAGCAACGGCCTGCAGCTGTAGGTATAGCCGCATGCGCAGCAGCAGCAGCAGCAACAGCAGTGAACAGTCGCTGCAGCAGCAACAGCAGCAGCAGCAGCACTCCTTGCTACACGTTTTGTGCTGCTTGTGGGGCCTCCTCTCAGTGGCTGTTAATAGGAGGCATCCGCCGCAGCAGGAGTCTCCTTTCTTCTGAGCAGCAGGCCCAGCTGCCATGTGCATGCGCTGCAGCAGCAGCAGCAACAGCAGCAGCAGCAGCAGCAGAGGGAACCGTATCGGTGCTGCTGCACGTTGTTGATGGGCTCGCTAGCCCTGAGGCTGCTGGCGACTTTTGTATTTCTGCTGCTGCGCTGAATGCCCTCTATGGAGTGCCTCTCCTGCAGCAGCAGCAGCAGCAGCAGCAGCAAGAGGGAGGCGGTACTGCTGCCGCATCTACAAAGAACCCTCTTCCGCTCCACGGCGCCCCCAGCAGCAGCAGCAGCGGCAGCACGTGCTGCAGCGGCTGCTGCAACAGCGGCAACAACTGCAGCAGCTGCAGCCGAAGCAGCAGCAGCAGCAGCAGCAGCGTTGAGGTTCCCGCAGCTTTTGCTGCACTGCCTATTGTAGGAGAGATTTTGTCTCGAGTTGGGGTGGGGGGCCTCTGGGCCCGCGCGCTGCTGCAGGTTGCTGCTGCTGCTGTTAATGATTTAGGGGGGGAGACACAAAACCAGCAGCAGCAGCTGCTGCCTTCTCTGCTGCTGCTGCTGCGCCTGTTGCTGCTGCCATTCATTCGACTTGCAAGCGGTCTCGCAGCAAATGCGCGTCTTTGCTGCTGTCTTCCTGCTGCAGCAACAGCAGCAAAACCCTCGCTTCTTCTCCTTCATGATGAAGGCAACAGCAGCAGCACAGCAGCAACAAGAAAATCAGCAGCAGCACCAACAGCAACAGCAGCAGCAGCAGCAGCAGCAGCGAACCCCATGCTGCTGGTGCTAGGGGGTTGCCAGCTTACCCCAGTTAGCCGGGGGGCCCCCCTAGCAATATATCGGCGAGGGCAATGCAGGGGCCCCCTTAATCCTGCTGCAGCAAATGAGAGCCTGTGGCTTGACTCTTCAGGTGCAGCAGCATCAGCAGCTGCAGCTGATAAGCTTGCTGCTGCAGAGAAGCTACTGGCAGCAGCAGCAGCAGCAGCAGTGTTCCGCAGCAGAGCAGCACAGCTGCTGCAGCTCGTCTGGAAGTTCCCCCTCTCTTTAGAGGCCCTCAAAGACATTTGCTGCTCCGAGAATTTGCTGCAGTGTGCTTCCTTAGAGGAGGCAGCAGCAGCGCATGCAGCATCAGCAGCAGCAGCAGGAGCAGCATCAACACCCCAGCAGCAGCCTTTGGCAGCAGCAGCGGCAGCAGCAGCCTCTGGGTGGCTGCCAGCAGCAGCATCTGCTGCTTCGCCTGCCTGCAGCAGGGCAGGGGCCCTATTAAAAAGAATTATTGAAGAAGAGAGCAGCAAAGATTTGAGTGTTGCTGCTGCTGCGCGTCTCTCGCTGCAGTGTCTCTTCACCCTCTCTTTCCTCGGGGAAAGAGAAGCAAACTGCCTTGAGATCTTGCAGCCTTTGCTGCTGCTGCTGCAGCAGCAGCAGCACGAAGCAGAGAAACATCTCTGCCTCTTGCTCCCTGCAGCAAGACGCAGCTGCAAGCTCTTGCGCAGCAGCAGCAGCAGCAGCAGCAGAAGCAGCAGCAACAGCAGCAGCAGGGCGGGTTGTCTTCCTTGCTGCTGCACTGCGCTGGAGTCTGCCTGCAGCTCGACAGTGGCATCTGCAGCAGCAGCTGCAGCAGCAGCAGCAGCAACATGTGGCTCGGATGCTGCAGCAGCGGAGGATTTGCTGCTGCGCTTCCTCGCTGCTGCAGTGGGGGGCCGCGCGAAGCTAGCTGCTGCCTTCGAGCTGCAGCTAGCCAGGACCCTCTTCAGCCCCCTTTGGTTTGCAAGGGCAAAAGCTGCTGAAGACGAGCAGCAGCAGCAGCAGCAGCGCAGCAGCAGCAGCAGCAGCAACAACAACAACGTCAGGGGGCCCCCAGGGGGGCCTACCTACTCCCCTCCCCGCGTACCTATGAAGAGGCGGACGCCAATGCATGCTGCTGCTGCTTCTCCGGTTGCTGCTGTTGCTGCTTTTGCTGCTGCTGCTCGGGGTTTCAACAGCAGCAGCAGCAACAGATGGACATGTTGCTGCTCCGGGGGAAGGGGAACAACTGCTTGCGGCAGCTGCTGCTGCTGCGATGCCCTGCAAGCAGCAGCAGCAAAACTCTTGTGGGGCGAAGATGCTGGTGCGGGGTTTGCTGCTGCTGCAGCGGCTGGTGGTGCTGCTCCTGCTGCTGCTGCTGATGCAGCTGCTGGGGAATCAGACGGCGGAGAGGATGCAAAAAGCGACAGCTCCTCCTGTGACGAGTTGGGCAGCAGCAGCAGCAGCAGCACGGAGTGCAGCAGCAGCAGCAGCAGCAGCAGCAACATAAGAAGCAGACCCCATCTAAGGGACCTTCGGGGCTGGCATTCCTCAGTTATTTTTCTGCTGAAGCACTTAAAAGAAAGCAAATTAACAAACAGCCTTGTTATGCTGCAGGACGCCGCTCGCAGTTTTGCTGCTACAGCGCTGCTCCGCAAGACCAGCACCAGCAGCAGCAGCAGCAGCAGCAGCAGCAGTAGGAGCGAGGTGCTGCAACAGGAAGACTGCGAGGATCTGCCTGCTGCTTCGCAAGCCTCTCTATGGCTGCCTTCTCAAGTTGAGGGGCCCCACACCTCTGCTGTCTCATCTCCTCTTCATACTTCAGGGGCCCCCTCTTCTGCTGCAGCAGCTGCTTCTTCTTTCCGCCTCCCGCCTCCCCTGCAGCAGCAGCAGCAGCAACAGGTGGCTCAGGATGAGCAGCAGCAGATGTTGCAGCAGCAGCAGATGTTGCAGCAGCAGCAGATGTTGCAGCAGCAGGAGGAGGAGGAGGAGCAGCAGCAGCAGCAGGAAGAGCAGCAGCAGCAGCAGCAGCAGCAGCAGCAGCAGCAGCAGGAAATGGAGTTGTCTGTTGCTGCTTTGTCTCGTGGGTATTGGCCTGAAGAAGAAGTGCCGTTAGAAAGAGAGGAGCAGCAGCAAATAGGGAGACTCCCAGCCCCTCTTGCTGCAGCAATCCGCAGCAGCTGCGCTGCCTTTGCAGCAGCAGCAGGTCTTTGGATGCTCGAACCCAGACACCCCCTTACAAAAGTTAAAGTTAGGGGCCCCCAAGGGGGGCCCCCCGTCTGGGTACCTCTCGCGCATGCAGCTGTTCTCTTGGTGCTGCAGCAGCAGCAGCAGCAGCAGCAGGATTCTTCGAAGGACAGCATGCATGTAGAAGGGGATCAAGAGCAGCAGCAGCAGCAGAAGCAGCAGCAACAGCAGCAGGGCATGACATATAAGGATATTGCTGCAGAGTTGTGCTGCGCTGAGAGTCTCGTGCGGCAGTCTATCAAGCAGCTGTTGCAGCAGCGTTGGGTGCAGCGCAGCAGCAACAGCAGCAGCAGCAGCAGGGGTGCTGAGGAGAGCGACGAGCCCAGATTCACCCTCTTTACAGGCTCCTCATCAGACCCTGCTCTTAGTTCTGTTGCTGCTGCCGCTGCTGCTTCTGAAGCTGCTGCTGGTGCTTCGGAAGCTGCTGCTGGTGGTGCAGCAGCAGCTGCTACTGCTACAGGAGCTGCTGCAGGACCTGCTGCTGCTGCTGCTGCTGCTGCTGAGAGGGAGGGTGATGATATAACCCCAGAGGCCTCTTTGTTTGGTGTCTCTCGTCAGGAGTCTCTTTGCTTCTTTTCTAATGGGGAGGACTTGTGTCTAACTTCTTTTGAAGTAGAGACAGAGCAGAACGAGGGGCCCTCTTCTGCTGCTGGTAGCAGCAGCAGCAGCAGCAGAGGGCTGAGGGACCCCGCAGCAGGTGGTGGGGGCGTGGGGGATGATGGGTGCTGTGAATCGGCAGCAGCAGAAGCAGAAGCAGCAACAGCAGCAGGAGGAGCAGCAGCTGCTGCTGCTACCTTGCCTCCTGCATGCGAAACTTTTATTTTAAACTTTTTGAGGGAGAGAGCCCGCCGCGTATCGACTGCAGCAGCTCGTGGTGCTCCTTCTGCTTTAATTCTGCTGCGCCTCAAGCAGCAGCAGCAGCAACAGCAGCAGCAGCAGCAGCAGCAGCAGCAGCAAGAACAATGGTCAGGGGACCTCCGCTCTCTTCTTAAAGCCCTTGAGGCCCTCGAGGCACAGGGAAAAATACGAAAAGTATGCGGCAACTGGGAGGCAGCAAATTAATACAAACATTAATTCACAACATTTCGGGGGGCCCCCTAAACGGGGCCCCCTTAGTGCCCTTTTGGGGGCCCCTTAAGACCACCCCCGTTGGGGGGCCCTCTTTTAGGAGGCCCCTAAGAAGGGCCTCTTTAGGGGCTCCCTAAGTGGGGACCCTTTGGGGGGGGCCCCTATGCGGGGCCCTTTGGGGGGCCCCTAAGAGGGGCCCCTCTAGGGGGCCCCCAAGAGGAGCCCCTCTGGGGAACCCTTTTAGGGGGCCCCTATAGGGGGCCCCTAATCGGGGCCTGTAAGGGGGGCCTCTAAAGGGGGCCTCTGAGGGGGGGCCCCCTAGCGGGGGGCCCCCTACTATGCCTCTGAGATGTAGTAGCGAGCAAAAGGGGGCCCCTTTATGCCCTTGGGGGCCCCCTAAGGGGGGCCCCTTAGAGGGGAAGAGACAGTCCTGAGCTTAAAGGGTTTATTTTATGGTGTATTTAAAATTGCATTAACAGAAAAAGATGTCTCTTTGCTTCAATTATAGAAAGAAGGGGGCCCCCTACTCGTCCCCCAAAGGGGGCCCCCTAGTGCAGTTGAGGCCCCCTTGGGGGGCCCCCCTACCCTTGTGTTTTTCTTTTTAGTAGGCTAAAAGGCAAGTGGTTTTTAAATATATTAAATATATTAAAATTATTTAAATTGTTTTGATATGTTGAATATATTAAATGGTTTAAATATATTAAAATATTAAAATTATTAAAATTATTAAAATTGCTTAAATTGTTTAAACGATTTAAATATATTAAATAATTTAAGTAAATTAAATAAATTAATTTGTTTCAGCAGTTAGGAGAAGAAAATATAAGGGCTCGAGATATGTAGGTAAGAGTATAAAAAGAAACAACTCAACAAAGACAAACAAACAAACAAACAAACAAACAAAAACAATAAAAACAAATAAATAATAAACAAAAACAATAAAAATATTATCGGCGGCTTGCTGCCCACCTCCTTCGGCTTTTTGTTGAAACGCACTTCATTGTGCTGCGTTTGTAGCTCTTACGGGGCCTCCACCGCAGCAGCAGGGGGGCCCTATTTGCTTCATGGGGGCCCCTTGGGGCCTCTTCGATTCCTCTTGCTGCGCCAACACCCGAAACGTCTGCTGCTGCTACTGCTGCTGCTGCTGCTGCTGCTGTTTCAGGAGGGTCCAGCTGCTGCTGCTCCTCAGTAACAGCCACTGAACGACCTACAGCAGAAAGGGGAAGGGGCCCCCTGCTGCTGCAGCAAATAGAAGGGAATGGGGGGCCCAGTTGGGCGTCTATGCAGCGTAATGAGAGCAGCAGCAACTCAGAAGAAGAGGCATTTCTAAGGGGGCCCCCTAACTGCAGATTATATACAGAGGGCCCTTCAGGGGGTATAAAGAATTGAGGGAGGCGACTCTGGGGCCCAGAAGAGATACCTAATAAAGGTGAAGAAATGAAGAGGGCCTCTGAAGAGAGTTTAGAGGGAGAAGAGCTGCAGCTTCCCGAATGCAGCAACGCAGACAAGAAGCGAGGGCCCCCCCCTGCCCTGACAACGGTTGAGGCGAGTAGAGGCATTAATATACACACTTTGAAATATTTTCTCTTTAAATGCTGCTGTAAATTTAATTAAAACAAAAACAATTAGCCAGGCAAACACCCATGAAGGATCTTCTTCTCTTGTTCGTTTCTCGGTCTTTTGTTGTTGATGTTTCAGCGGTGGTGTTAATGAGGGTAGTACTTAATAATAAGGGAAATATTTGTTTATTAAATTGTTAAAAAGTATATTATAAAAGAGAATAAAGACAGAAGAGCACAAGAAGTTGCTGGGGCCCCCTTAGCTGCCGAAGTATAAGGGGAATATAATAGCGAAGCAGCAGCGGTAACAGCCACTGAAAACACTTTATTGAATGAAAATCACGAGAAAATATATAAAAGAAATATATTTTAAATAATAATATTGGGTTTTATTTGCATCTCATTGAAGAAAACCGACGTCTGCTTCAAATCATTCACAAAAACATTCTAGTTTGTACATACACCTGAAAAGAGGTATGGGTGATCTTCAAGAAGAATAAATGCATTATAAATGTCTTTATTATTTTCAACAGAAAAACATAAATATAATAATAATTAAAAACAATATAATGCAGTTTTAGAGAAAAGAAAATAGTTCAAAGTGCACAGACACCTCAGCTATGTTTGTTTGAATCTCTTGAAGATCGAAGGGGAGTGTGGAGATTATTTTTCTGTATATATCGTTTAAAAAATGAATTAAATTAGATTATTTTTCTCAAATCGACCTAAATTAATTATTTCCAATCTTTAAATATATTTTTTTCTTCTTTACTTTCCTATTCGCCGTTCAAAAGGTCTGGGGGTAGAGGCGCCTCCTCTATACAAATCCTCACGATGCAGCGGCAGACACATCACGTACCAATCTTTCGCCTTTTACTAAAGATTGCCGTGTGTCTGCCGCGCTTAAATGCATCTATAACATATTTTTGGGGCGTCTAGGCGCCAACAATATAATTATATTTATTATAATGTTTCTATATAGTAGTAATATTGTATTGATGTTGAGTTGATGTTGAGTTATTATAGAATTATATAATAATACTATAATAATAATAAGTAATATTATTATACGTAGTACTGTTATTTATTATCTGTAACAATATTATTATAATGGTGATAATGATAAGAATCGTAATATTACAGTGTTATCGTTATTGTTACATTAGATTTAATGATATTATTATGAAGTTTACTTATGAATGCTTTCCTCGTTCGTAAAGATTTCGTTGTTTTGTTTGTGTTGTTCCTGTTTTCCTTTTATGTTGGTTATTTCTTTTATTGTCTTTTTGAGTTATTCACGCTCTTATAAACATGTACAAATATATATATATATATATATATATATAGTAATCCTTATTAGCATAACTAAAAACAATACGCATATACGTATGTATATACATATTTGTATATTTACATATTTTTAATATATACGCTGGTATTATTCAGCATACTTCTGTACGAACAAATTATTGTTCTTCATGCCTTTATAATCTATATATATATATATATATACATCTAAATATATATATGCATATATATATATATATGCATATATATTTAGAGGTATATATATATATATGTATATATGTACATATATGTGGTTTCCTAGTGAATATTTGCATAGTTTTATATATTCAGTAGGGGGCTGCGTATTAAAACAATTCGGCATTCACAGTTTTGTTTTATAAGACAAATTATAAAAATATTAATGAGAGATGTTGCTGCATGCAGCAGAGATGTTGCTGCATGCAGCAGAGATGTTGCTGCATGCAGCAGAGATGTTGCTGCATGCAGCATGCTGCTTCTTCCTCGTCTTCTATAGAAGCAAAGCAGATAAAAATAAGGGCCCTGCTGCTGCTGCTTCTGCTACTCTTGTGTTTAGAATGATGTGTATATGCACCGCGTTATTCGTATGAAAGGGCTGAAGCATACAAAGAGCTCTAAGCATGCTGCTGCTGCTGCTGCTGCTGCAGCAGCTGCTGGTGTTTTCCCTAAGAACCACGCAAACGAACGGTAGCAGCAGCTCTCTCCTTGTTGTGATTGTTTATGAAAATCAAACAAACACACTGCAACAGCAGCAGCAACTGCTGCTGCTGCCGCTACTGCTGCTGATGCTGCTGCAAGGGGGCAGCGGATCGGCGGCGGGCTCATAGACACTCTCTTTTAAATGGTACACCTGTACAGACCATAGAAGCATTTAAATATAATTATTAAATATGTTTTAATATATATTTTCTAGATTTATACTAATATATTATTCTTCTAAAGACAGCATTTAAGGCTTAGGGTTTAGGGCTTAGGGTTTGGGTATATAAAGGACCAGTGGTTGGAGGGTTGGGGGGGGCTATTCTTCTTCTTTATTCTTTGTTTTAATATATTAGAATTAAAATTGAGTTCTAAATTAATAAATAAATAAAAATAAAGAAAAATTAAACAAACTGCTGCGCCTCTGTCTTCCGTTGAGGCAGCCTACCGCCCCACAGCAGTCGCCCTGACCAGACCGCTGCTGCTGCTGCTGCTGCTGCTGCTGCTGCAGCTGCTGCTGCTGCTTCTTTTTGTGCCTTCGGTTTTTCTCCTTTTTTTCTTCTGCGTGTTTCTGTTGAGGGTTTGCTGCTGCAGATGTTTGTGTTTAATATTTTGCTGTTAGTATAATAGCATTTTAAGGGCTCTAGCGGTGCTGCTGCAGCAACAAACAAGAAAAGGAAGAGGCTCCAGCAGCAGCAGCAGCAGCAGCAGGAGCAGCAGCAGCAGTCACTGCCCCCTGCTGTCCTGAAGGTTGTTGCTGCTGCTGTTTGCAGGTGTTGTCTCTCTGTTTCTTCTTCTTAATGCCTCAAGCAAAACAAAACCTCTGCTCTGCACGCAGCTTCTTCCTCTCCATCTGCTGCTTGGGAGTTTGTAGCGCCAGCAGCAGCAGCAGCAGCAGCAGCAGCAGCAGTAGAAGCCCCTGACACAGACGCTTGAGTTGCTTCCCTTATCTAGCTGTCTCTAACGCATTTAATATAACGCATGAAGAAGAATTTAAATTAATTGCTGCTCCCTCCCCCAGCATCAACCCCAGCAGCAGCAGCAGCAGCAGCAGCAGCAGCAGCCACGACAGGCCCAGCAGCAGCAACAGAAGCAAGACAAGCAGCAGCAACAGCAGCAAGACCAGCAACAGCTACAGCAGCAAAGGAGAAGACAGAAGCCACTGCAGCAGCACATCCAACGGTGGGAGGCCCTCCGCTGCATCATTTGCTGCAGTTGCTGCTGCAGTATCTGCTGCTGCTGCTTCAGCTCCTCCTCCTATTGTAGTTTCTGCTGCAGTTGCTCCTGTAGTTGTTGCTGTAGTTGCTGCTTCAGTTGCTGCTTTAGTTGCTGCTGCAGTTGCTGCTACATTTGCTCCAGCATATCCGTTATTTTTGCTGCTGAGGCTGTTGTCTGAAGCGCTGCAAGACC